TCTTTTTTTTTTTTTTTTTTTTGTAAATGACATCTTAGCGCAAAATTGATTAACATGGGTGGTATGGGGAACATCATTACATATAGGACAAAGTCATAAATACGAGGACCACATGGCTGGCATTACTTCTTGAAATGAGGAAAACCTGCGATGAAACCGACGATACGTGCGAGAGTATCGAGCGGCAAGAAGCATCTGTCGTTAATCGATGCCAAAATGATATTAAGCTGTATTAACGCATAGTGTAACTAAATAGCAACATTTTTAAATTAATTCTTTCCAAATCTTCTCACAAGCATTTAACATCCGATATGTGTTACATCGTAACACATTGTGTTATAAATACATAAAACAATTTATAGATTTATCAAATTTTTCTATAATTATTAAAAAAATTTAAGCAATCAAAAAAAATTTATGAAAAATCTTCACAAGTTAGCAGCAAAATTAGTCGATTCGACTACATGCCAATAGTATATATTAATTAATTGGATAGTTAATATTTGTACAATCGAAAAATTTTGAATTGCACATTTTTCTTTTAACTTTTATATTCTTTAATTCCTTCTCTCTCTAAGAGATTTTATTCTCCAAATGTGAAATCTCCGTTATCTGATGATAAGAATCAGTGTCATACGTATTTTTACGATGTTGCAACAATATTTCTTCGTGGCGGTGAAAAGTTTCCCGCAGCTGTTATATTCTATGTCATGCCAAAGGTATATTCCAAAGGGCATAATTTAAAGAAGTTTCTTGGGGTTGTCGCGAACTAGCACAGCAGCCAAACGAAAACCCAGTTTGAATGTAAGAGTATGTAAATGATAGGAGCTGCTAGGAGAGAGTTCATTATAACCGGTATGGTGCGACCACAAAATTGTTCGCGGAAACTTTTGTGAATGGCAGTTAATTATAATTAATTCCGTATTGTCTACTCGACAGCTCGTGCTAATTCCTCGCCGCCGACGAATCGCACGCGAACGCTACTGTGGAGTTTCAGTTAGCACTCTCTCCTGAGCAGACAAATTATTACGAATGTTCAATTAAATCGTGCGTTTTCAAACTAACTTCCGTACTGTAGTCTTTTGGGCAAATTTTGCATTTCTGTGCTATTGTATCACATAGCTGCCTAAGAACTTAGGGAATGTTCTATTTTATATATTTTTAAGTAAACGCAATGCTTTATTTTCTCATACCTCAAATCTTTGAAACTTTATGCTACACAGAAATTTTCGGAGCATCTATATTTTTATTCTAAATTCTTTGCTAAACCCGACGTTAATTTCTATTGAATAAAAATACAGAGAAACCAAATTATCAATAATTGAAGATTGATAGTATTTTGCAAAAACTAAATTTTAAAGGCGTTGATACCTTATAAAATCTTTAAGATTATTTAAAAAGAAATTAGACAATTGTCTCTAGAATTCATTGTTTGGCAATAGTTTCTCATAAGATATCTCGTAGAATGCACGCGTAAATGTACGTGATAAACCGAAACCTTTTCATTAGTCAATTAATCTAATCGTAACGCTTAACATAAATACAATTTAACGAGCGTATAATGGAAATTAAGTAATGATTAATTCGATCGTAGTGTTACATTGTAAAAGTACAATACAACTCGATTCGATGCAAGTGCCCCGATGCTCTGTATCCGCAATTAGAACGATTTCGCGAGTTTAATTCCGCAGAATTAGGAGTGCGGAACTGGTTCTTCTCATCCGGGCAACTCTCGGAAATTTCAAGAGTTTATCCCGATGGAAGGAGGGAAGGATTACAGGAGAAAAAGGGTAACAGAAAAGGATGGTTGGTCCGGCACGAAAGAAAAAGGAAAAAGAGGGACTGAGCTTTGTCTTTAGAATAGCTGAAGCCTCCTATTCTTTTCAGCGACAAGTTTCGCGATTTTCAAAATTAAGAGAACATAGTTGCTAATTCAGCGTAATGTATGAGAAACTATTGTTTGACATTATTTCTATTTTACAAAAATTTTCTATACTTTCTGTGCAGTTTTCTTCATTCATAAAAAAGGAGTTTCTTTAATTCTTGAAGAAAAGCAAGTGATTATGTAACATTTATATATTTATATATTTGCCAATAATTAAATTTGATACATAATACTGTCGAAAAGCTTCATATATGCGAGGAAAGTTTAAAAATTTAATTTTATATAATACAGTATTGAGATAAAATATTTTTCGATAGGTGTTTATTGGTCTAGAAATATTTTATACGCATTGCAAGAGATTGATCGTCCATATAAGATAATGTTCGGCGCTAACGTAAACAGTAATAACGTAACAGGGCAAATTAAAGTTCAGCACTGATATCTGCTTACGCGACGGTCGAAAAGATTTAACCTTAATGGAAGTTGGGAGTATATCGTGGAACGGAAATGTGCGGTGTATAGGCCCAACGAATTGCCGCGGGAGTGTGTGCGAAATAATAGGGTAATTGTTATGCTACGGCACGGTAGGTGGAGGATCTGAGCTCCGTGTCTTCGATAAGACACGGCTCTCGGCATACTTAACGAACTTAACTTTCCGCGATCGTATGGGCATCTAGTTTTCGCCGGTGCGATACCGCGGATATAATGAGGAAAATGTAATAAAACCCGCTGTCGCAGATGGGAGACAGCGTTTACGTAATCTCACACACAGTGCAAAGTCCAAAATTATAAAATGCGATACGTTCTTCTTCGATTACGTCAGTCGAGAGCGTGTCTAATTTTCTTAAATACAAGTATTCTTTATTTCTTTCGAAAAGAAAACTATTTCTAGAAATAGAAATGGAAATATAAATGGAAATTTATATAATTAATTCGGCAAAGTTATATAGAATTTAAAACAATGTTATATATATAAAATTCTTGCGAAGACTTTACATTTCTCAAGTGTTCAGCAGTTCAGTATGTATACTCATCTTCTTTCAAATGTAATGAACCTGTCAAATCTGCATCTGTTGCTACCGTCGTCGATGTTAAATTAAGAAATTTGTCGTACGGGCATAATAATGTGCAGCCCGGAATGGAAAGCGTTTCTACTTTCGCCGGAATACCCCAGTAATATAATACCTAGAGCAAGGAAAATAAGTATTATTCGTTAATTATTCCTCAATCAAGTGCTAAATATCACTCCTGTTATCATAGATAGGCGGACGAAATGAGATACTTACTTTGACAAAATACTTGCCCTTCCATTCACGCAATTCAAAAATAACGCCACTCGTAAAGTTTGGCGTACTGTAAATCTCATTTTTTATATGCAGAGTACGCAGTATCGCGAATACATTAATGTCATGTCCGGAGAAGAGATTGATCTTTCGATTTTTTAATGTTCCATTGATCACTTTATTCATGTCGTCGATTATTTGCCGTAATAAGACACCTGTAAAAATTTGTACACATATATTACACATCTACGCGCAATATTTAGCGGTCCGTATTAAGCATATATGATCGCAACATATATATTTTTTATTCGAACGTGCCTCCATTAAGTCTGGTAAGTTCCTCATTGTAGGCTAATAGGTCAAAAGCTAGACGGCTCGCTTCCGAAAATTGTGTGTTGTTATATAACATACGCGCTGTTTCGGGTATCTCCAGTTTCATAGATAATTGCAAATGTATAGCCATGTGCACTATCAAAAGATCAAATAGAGTAGTAATATTAGTGCCTGCATACACCGACACTTTTTCCATTAAATCACGATATTTTTCTGTTTTTGCTATTATTTCCAAAGAGTTTAACATTTTTTTGAAAGTTGCTTCATATCTATAAAAAAGAAAACATAACAATTGCCTAAAAAGAGATCTATAAGTTGCTGTAAGAAAGAATCTAACATAAATAATAATTAGAATTTATGATAGGGCAATATTTTTAAATATATGCGATTTAAAAAAATGTAATTATTACTAAAAGGTCTTTAAAAAATACGCGTAAAAGTTTAAAAAAAATTATCTTTTTTTTAAATTAAATGGCAATAAATTGAGATAATTAGTCTACGCTTTATCAAATACGTTTAGCTTATATATTTAAACGTATTTTTTTTTGTTCTGTTAATTTGCCACAATTAATACTAAAACAGAAATTATGCCATCCGAAATGTACAACTTATCATTACTAACGTTAAAAGGGCGGAGATTACTTACATAGGGAATCTAAATGACACCATTAGAATATCTTCGTGTAAAGAGGCATATCTCACATTCATCGGCTGCCAAAGCAGCGCATGATTCCATTGTTGCATGTTATTAGGCGGAAAAAGTGCAGCGAGCACTAATTGCAGGGTCATCTTGCATCTAGTAACGAACGTGGAACGTGCGTAGATATGCGGTTGATAGTACGTAGTGCCGAGAAAATGGTTGTACAGTTTTCTCAGTAGCAGTCCTAACTCATACGATCTTTTCTTACCAGCCTTGACAGTAACATCATTAATAAAAATTAAAAAAGAAGAAGAAATCATAGTTTTTGCGTAAAAACAAAGAATTCAAAAAAATATCGATTTTGCTGTCATGCATTTACATGCGCAATTCCATTTGACTTTGATACAAAAAGTATTATAAAGAGCTAAAGACACGATACGCTTTGATTTTTGAAAATTATTTTTGCAGCTACATATATATGCGCTTTATCAAACGATTGTAGCAGCAAAAGAATTAACATAATGTATGTTTTAACACGTATGTCATATCTTACATTAGTTAATTCGCCGCGGCCAGTTGGATAAAACTTCTCATCTTTGTAGGGATCATTTGGATAAGTTTCTCTGTTATCTGGTGTACGATCGCCGTGTCTGAATATCTGAAAATTTCGGCGTTTAATTAGTCTTGAATATTTTCGAGAGGATGTATTTTTTTCGAAATATCAGTTTTTCGTACCATGCTGACAAATTGTAATGTCGTCTGACTAGCTTTTGCTTCTACAAAAGTAAAATTGTGAAAGTCCTGGTATTCGTCTGCTGCCTGATATAAGCTGATATTATTAGTAATCAAAAATTCTTTCTCGTTCTGTTCCGTTATTAATAAATTGGAATAAAATATTATTAATACGATGTTCAGGTAGTATTGAAGTTCCGTCATCCTGTAGATTGTATGTAGTGAATCAAATCTAAATGTTCCACGATAGAATACGTCTACGACAAAAGAAATTCACTTTTTTTCCAATTGAATGCTTTCCAATACGGATTAATCTTAATTACTGCTATCCAATACGGATTAATCTTAATTATTTCATAATGTGTCCCCACAGCAACTAAACTTCATATTTGAAAATAATTAAAATTGACGAATAAGTGATTATGTTTTTAAATGATTAAAATAGTCAATGAATAAAATCATTGATTTATGTTTAGGTATTAGATTAATCTTTTATTTTTGCATTGGATTATAATACGAAAAGAAATTTCTTACATTTTCTCAAATTTTATATGGAAAACTTATCATATGCAAGAATAAACAGTTTACAATTAATTTAAATTTATGGAAAAT